ATTACAGCAATGACTAATTCAATTTTCTCATGCTTTATTTAACACTTTATTCCCACAGAAATCCCTAGTGGGCAATTAAACTAAATTGCTGAGACTGAAGGCTTTTTGTAGGCCACAGTAGCCATATGTTATAACTGACATAAGGCACTTAACATAAGTAATTGAATGGAACCGGGCCACTCATCAGGCAAAATATAAGCAGAGTCCAATCTGATCTCCCAGAAGGAGCTGTGGTGTATGTCTATGTGTGTTGATTTGTTTTCTTGTGCTGAATTATCTATTGCTTGGTAGATGGTCCTCTATAGCTATGAATCACAAAGCCTTTTCAATTCTTCACCCTGTCATTCACTTCTCTTTAGCTTCACTTTCCTAGTCTAAACCACTATGGGCTACCACTTACATTAGTACAATAGTGTCTCAACTGGCCCTTTGCTCTCCATTCCAGTCCTACCAATCCATTTTCTACTAGTAGGGGCTTTTAATAATATAAATCAGGCCATTTTATATTCAAGCTTAGAGTTTGCACGGACTTTTTTTTTTCTCATTATTTGTGTGTGTGTGTGTGTGTGTGTTGGTCCTGGAAGTGCTTGAACTCAGGACTTGGTACTGGGCCTGAGCTTTTCTTGTTCACAACTACTACTCTACCACTTGAGCCACAGCTTCATTTCTGGCTCTCTCTCTCTCTCTCTCTGTGTGTGTGTGTGTGTGTGTGTGTGTGTGTGTGTGTGTGTGTGATTAGTTGGGAATAAGAGTCTCATGGACTGCCTGGGCTAGCTTTGAACCATGATCCTCAGATCTCAGCCTCCTGTGTAGCAAGGATTATAAGCATAAGCCACCAGCACCTGGCTGCATATGTTTTAAACAGGCCTCCAAGGTCTTTTATAGTCTGGCTTCTCCTTCCTTCTCCTGCCAATGGCAGTACCTGAGTCTCCACCTGCTCATGTTACTCTCTATTTCAGAGATACCAATATCTAAGGATTCCTATGTTGGGATTTGTAGAAATTACTTCCTTTCCCCAGAATACTCATGATCAATTAAATTATGTTAAATACAAACACCTCAAATATCCCTAACGGTTTTTCTATATTTTGCTATTATCTATGCCCTTGAAGTTATATTTACCATATCTGTAATGGTGAAAATACTATAATAATATATCACAGTGTAATTCAATCTATATGCTATGCTATGCTATGTATAATGCATCTCTTCCTTTCAGTAGCATCTTCTTGATAACTTGAAATTAGCTACATTAAAGTGTTTAGACCATAGGAATTGGTCAAATCTATACATCGAGGCTTTTGTTTTTGAGTGCATCCAGGAGTAAAGAATTTTGGTGTTACTTTTTTGGGGGTACCGAACTCCATACTCAATGATATACTACTGGGCACAAACTCTAACATAATCTCAGCTCTTGGAAGTTGATGCTCCAATAATTAGGGAACTATAATGAGGAATAATAATATCTGCTTTAGAAAATCGTTATGAGGAAGCTGGGAAGGTGGCTCAGTGGTAGAGTGCTTGACTTGCATACATGAGGCCTTGGGTTCGATTCCTCAGCACCACATAAGCAGAAAAAGCCGGAAGTGGTGCTGTGGCTCAAGTGGTAGAGTGTTAGCCTTGAGCTGAAAAGCTGAGGGACAGGGCCCAGACCCAGAGTTCAATCTCCACAACAGACAAAAAAAGGGGAAAAGAAAAAAAATTGTTTTGAGGATTTAGTGGGCTGATATAAATAAAAATCTAGCCAAAGGTCTGGTATCTAACCATTAGGTTTTAACAAGATGAAGGATCTGGTTGTGGCACGGCTCCCCTTATGGGTCTCCAGTGTAAATCTGTTTCCCAGGGGTAATATTCTCTTTTTCTTCCACGATTCTGTAAATACACAGAAGGAGTTTGGAAAGGATGGACAAGGAAGACATTTCTTTGTTCAGCAAATGAGGATAAGATATTGAACACATTGTTTTCTTTCCCTTTTTCCTATATAATTTTCTTATCTTTACTATTTTTTTCTAGCAGCTTCTTTAAACATTTGTTATCTTCTAATCTCTGTACATACACATAAAATACCTTAAGACCTTTCATTACTCATGGATCAAGGCCCGAGTCCCAATCCTTTATTTAACATCCACTCTTAGAATTCTCCAGGCTACTTTGCTTCTCTTCTCTCATGGCCTCATATTTTTTTTTATTAATTCCTTTTACTTGGTCAGAGCTTAAAGCAGTTTTCTTCACTTGAGTTCCCTTTATATATTTTAGGCTCCTTTCAAGCTGTTGTATGAGAAAACAGCTTTCCTTTTCAATGCATGTCTGGTTTCTCCAATCCTTATTAGTTTTGCCAGCTGATCTCAGATATCTGACAATTTTTCTGGCTTTATGCTACACAACACAGGTTGACTTCAATTTTGTGCATGGCTCTGATATGTGATTCAATAAATTACTTGTCATTCTTATGATACTTTACTGTTTGTTACTCTTCAGCAAATGTTCATTCAACCAAAGCCTACTGAACACTGAGAATGTGTCAAACACTGTGCTATATGTTGTGCATATGAAATGAACAAAGCACAATTTCTTATGCACCAATTATGCTTCAATAAAACTGGAAGAACATCAATATTTCTGCCTAGGAGGAGCTCATAATCTAGAAAATAAAAGCAAGCATATAAACATGTATATCAGCACAGTCTGCTAAGTATAACATTTTGTGATATGAAGAAATGGAACATCTTTCATGGCGGGGGAAGGGAGGGAAGTTGGTAAAACATCTCATAGGAAGTTGACATTTCTATTAGTCTTGAAACGTTAAGTCAAAGTTTATCAATCAAAGGACAGTAGTGAGAATGAGGGAAGGGAAAATAGGGTATCTAAGAAAAGGGAATCAGGGGCTGGGGGTTTAGCCCAGCGGAAGGGCACCCGCCGGGCACACGCAAGGCCCTGGGTTCGGTCCTCAGCCCTGGAAAAAAAAAAGACAAAAAAAAAAAAAAAAAAAGAAAAGGGAATTAATTGTGCAGAGACTGAAATGACTGAAGAAGATTTTGGCATGTTGGGGGAGGTTGATGAATTTTCTGTTGTTGGATGTATAGTATAGGGAACACAACACATCCAATTGAGAGGGCCTAGTTTAAATGAAGAATTCAAATATCCTAGCATCAAGAAGAGGAAACTAAGCAGGAGCGAGATATAATCATGTTTCTCTTTTATATGTTGTATTATTACTGACCCAATTATATGGTAGCCAGAGTTTGGAATCTAAAAGGAATATGTACTGCTTGTTTAATTAGAAGAACTTTCTTTTCAGGTCTGGAAATGGCATGATTTCAGTATACCTAAAGTTACCCAGTCCTACCTGTGCTAATTAACTTTGGCCAAGAATACTGCTTTATTATTAATTCATTCATTAACATTTTTATTAGCACATATTAGTTGTAAAGAGGAGTCTGGTTGTGACATTTATAAATGCACACATTGTATCCCAATAAACCTCACCCTTCTATCACTCTCCCTTATTCCTCTCCCTTCTGCTTTAAACAATTTCAACAGATTTCATGGTTCTTTTTTTTTGCCGGTCCTGGAGCTTGACCTCAGGGCCTGGGTGCTGTCCCTGAGCCTCTTTGTGCTCAAGGCTAGGGCTCTACTACTAGAGCCACATTGCCACTTCTGGCTTCTTTTGAGTAGTTTATTGGAGATTAGATCTTGTATATAAGTTTATCTGTTTGGGGGAAGGGAGGGAGAATCTCAGAAATGGTGGGACAAACAGTGAACGATTTCAGCCGTGATTCTCCCTAGACACTATGTTGGGAATGATAGCTACAACTTGGGAGAGAGAGGGTGGGGAAGGGAAGGTGAGAGAAAATAAGGGAGGGGGTAACACTGTTCAGAAAGAAATGTACTCATTACCTTATGTAACTGTAACCCTCCTGTACATTACCTATACAATAAAATTTAAATTAAAAAAAAAGTGTCACGGACTTTATTGCCTGGGTTGGCTTTAAACCTCGATCCTCAGATCTCAGCCTCTTGAATAGCTAGAATTGCAGGCAGGAGCCACAAGCTTACCGGCTTCACAGTTCTATTTGTATACATGTGAATAAACTACTTTGACCATACTCATCCTCATTCACTCTCTTCTTTAGTCAACATCCCTTCCCATCCCTCCTGCGAAATGAGCTCCCTTCTCATACCTTAGTATACTCCTTCTCCTTTCCACAGTTTAGCATGCTTCCTTCCTAGGCAACACTAGGCCCATTTAGCAAATGCAGTAAGTAATCAGCCTCCCTTACATTGAGATGGCATTTCTCTGGGGCAGTTGCCACCATATAAGGCAATAGGAGCCCGTTAGAATGACCTTCAGGTCTGGGCAGCTGAAGGGCTCCTTATCTACTATTTGGACAGCAGCCATAAATCCTAGTCCACCATGATGAAGCCCCTGGCCCACACATCCACATCAGGGTCTCCGCCTTCTAGCCCCTTCTAGCCCCTCCTAAACCTCCTAGGTTACATAGGTCACCTCAGACAATAGCCGGTGCTGCTTCTCACTTCTCCCTTGTGAGAAGGGGTCTTGCCGGCCCTCTTTCCGGCAATAAACCTTTCTTTGTTCTCTGTACCTGGATGTCTGAGTGGTTCTCTGGCAAAGTCTAATTTACCCTATCACCTCCGATATCCACCCACTCTTTAGTGCCTGAAGAAAGTCAATTTATTACCCCCAAGTCTGTCCTGCAAATGTTAAGCACTCCTTGGCAAGGATTTGTTTCCTCGATCCGTACTTTCATGTCTGTCTGTCTGTCTGTCTGCATGCATGCATGCATGCACGTATGCATGTATGTATTTGTTTTTATGTAGACCTTGACTTGAATGCTTTGGCCCTTTCCACTCTAGATTTAAAGCACTCAGAAGCCTCCAAACCAGCGAGCCACGCCCACAAAAAAGCATCGGCGGAAACAGGAAGTATGTCCTCAACCGCGCGCCGTACTGACGCAGCAGTGCGCAAGCGCAGTTCCCTGCTCCTGGCAGCGTGTTCCTCTGTTCCCGACTTCCTTGTTTCCTGCTTAGGTGGTCGGCGCCGGCTTCTCCCGGCGTGCGGTGGCCGCCTGGGTCTCGGGGCGCTCGGCTCCCAGCCCTTCTTCTCCCGGGCCCTCTGCTCTGGCTGCCACGCCTCCGCTGGCGGCAGGCTCATGGCCGAACGCGGGGAGCTCGATCTGACGGGCGCCAAGCAGAACACGGGCGTGTGGCTGGTCAAGGTAAAGGCCGCGGGGCTCCCCGGGCGCGGGCGCTCCGGGACGGGCGCTCCGGGACGGGCGCTCCGGGACGGGCGCAGCCTCGGCTGCCCGCGCCCGGCGCCTCCACCGAGCGCCTTCTCGGAGGCGGGAGTGGTTTTTGTTTCGACAGTTCACTTAATGAACCCGCCTAGCCTAGCCCTGACACGACCCCTTCCCCTCTCTTTACCCCACAACAAAGAATTCCTTGAATCTTTCTCTTGGGTGGAACAGATGTGTAAGTATGCATCCATGCAAGTTAGTGGAGGGGCTGGCTTCTCCTCCAGTAAGTGGAACTGGAGCCCCTGAGTACACCCTACACCCTTAAAGTGTTCTCTAGGTTAAATAATTGAGAGAATTTTTTTTAAACTGTAAAGGTGATGTACAGAGGGGGTTACAGTTACATAAGTAAGGTAATGAGTACATTGTTTTTTGAACATTGTTATCCTCTCCTTCATTTTCTCTGCTTATCCCTTCCACTCCTTCTCCCCCCCCACCCCCCGCCGCCAGTTGTAAAGTTCTTTCCAACATAGTGTCTAGTATCACTGTTGCATTGGTTCACCTTTGTCCCACCGTTTCTGTGATTCCCCTTCCCCAAATCAGATAAACTCATATACAAGACAAAGGGTACAGAAATAAAAATCAGTGACAACAGGGCATAAACCAAAAGAACAAAAAACAGAAAGAGAAAAGAGATAATTGCAAACAGTACACACACACACACACACACAGAGAAAACCTCTTGTTTGCTTGCATTTATGGAACAAGAGGCCATTGACTATTTCGATTTTTATTTTCATTTTAGAGCACAATTGAATCTCATCAAATTGGCCATTGATATCTAATTTATGTGAAGAGGCAATTTTGGTTAGTCTTGAAGTGGCTTGCTTCTTCATATTAGTGATTATCTCTTAGATACAGTTTATAAAAGTTAGGCAGAGTGCGTAGGATTGAAAGTCTTTGAACCTTAAATAAAATACAGGAAGCTTTAGTTTATTAATGTCTTCTTTAACTGTTTTATCATATAAGTGAGTTCTTATCAACTAAATCTAAGGAAACCTTCGAACTCCCCAATTCTCATGATTATTGGCTGGCAGATCAGACCTGTATTATACAGGAACTTTGCCTGTCACATTTTTAATAGTTTTTGGCATAAAGTAATTATTCAATCAATATGCAATGAATGCATGACTGCTCTCTTCAAACCTATCCTTACTCTCTGACATCCATTTGCCTTTTCCTATAGCTATATCTGTACGACTTAAAAAGATGAAGTAAATGACATATATGTCTGTCTCCAGCTGCTTGTTAAATGGAAGAGTCCTTAAGGAGATCTATTTTAAATACCAAAGAAAGACTTGAAAAATGGTGGGGCTTAAGATGATGCATTTGTGTTTGGACTACAGTGAATTTTCAATAAATGTTTTCTGTACAGGATTTGGATGAGTGGACAGTAGTATAGCATGGAAAGTGGAATAGCAAAGCTAGACTGAACATGATTGCTAACATTTTACATATTTGAAAACAAAAAGGAGATGTTAGAGCAACATACTCACATTGTTATATTGTGAGCTGGAGGTGTCCTAATTGCAGTTAATAGGAATGGGCAGGATCTTTTGCATACAGCAAAGATGCAAAAGATTATTTTAGACAAAAAGTCAAGTTTGGCATTGCACAATGCAGTTTACAAGGAAAAATAACCATAGGCAGACAGTTTTCACAGGATCATAGGTATGTGCTAATGAAGCCTGAAGAATTAGGACAACTTTTTAAGTAAAAGTTGTTAGAATTTGGTGGCAACTTTTACTAAAAAGAACCTAACTCATACAAAGAACTCAGTTCAAGCCAATGATTTGTTCTCCTTTTTAAAAGATAGTTGTAATGTTTTATTTTTGTTTGCAACCTCCTGTTAACTTAGCATGCTGGGTTTTTTGTTTTTTTATTTTTATATAAAAGAAATGAACAGACGTATAAGTATGTTTTTCCAGGGGGTGGTTCTAAGTCTAACCAACAGCTTTCTTGCCTACAAAGAAGTGTTTCTGTCTATCCCAATCAACTTTCCTGGTGTAATTGTTTTGACTGCTTGTTGGAAGAAATGGACATCATACACTATGAATGTGCTATTCTTTAGCCAACAGCACATGCTACCTTGGATTTTACTTCTTCATAGATATACCAGCACTTGGACATTGGTGAACAAAGAAAAGAAAGCTATGTATCAGAAAGAAAGAGGTGAAACTAGAATGGATAATGTGATGGTTACTTCTGATTGTCAGTAGATAGGATTGAGGAATGCTAAAAGATTTAGTAAAGCACATCTTTGGATGTGTTTGTGGAGCCAGTTCCAGAGAGGATTAGATCAAGAATGAATTAATCCTTTAATAGATTTATAACATGATGGCATTATCAGAGGTGGCAGAAGGTGGGAGGTAGGGCCTTGTTTGAGGAAGTAGGTCACTGGATGTACCCTTTTATATCTTGCCTTGGCCCCTTCCTTTATTCCTGTTTCCTGCCCACCGTAAAATGAACTGCTATGTACTGCCATGCCCTCCCCATCAGTAAAAAATGAAACTTCTGAAACCATGGGCAAAATAAATCTTTCTTCAAGTTCTTTCTTTTTTTATATTTATTTTTGTGCCAGTCCTAGACTTTGAACTAAGGGCCTACACACTGTCCCTGAGGTTTTGTGCTCAAAGCTAGTGCTCTACCATTTGAACAACAGCACTACTTCTGGCTTTCTGGTGGTTGATTAGAGATAAGAGTCTCATGGACTTTTCTGCTGGAAGTGGCTTTGAACCATGATTCTCAGCTCTCAACCTCCTAAGTAACTGAAATTATAGGCATGAGCCACTAGCACCTCACTCTCAAGTTATTTCTGTCAGGTATTTGGGCACAATGATGAAAAATCTGAAAAGTGTAAATGATACAGCAAAACCTGGCAGAAAAAAAGAGCCTATGTTTCTTATGTACCAATACATTATGAAATAAACTATTTTTTTTTAATATTTCTCAGATGATAAAATTAAGGCGGGAGGTCAGTTATCTTGCCAGGCATGGAACAGCGTGGTTCAGGTTAAATGTTATTTGGTTACAAAATGACAAAATGTATGCCAACAATAGGAAATGTCTTTTTTGCATTCCTTTGGATCTCTTTACTGGATTCTGTCTCTGGAGGTTCAAATGTGGGTTGAAGACTGGATTTTGCAGTTCTCAGTTGTAGCTCTGTATCTTGAACTTCAAGAAAATAGGAGAGTAAACTGAGATAGAGATGCATAGCAGGGGTTTATTAAGGTTTGCTCTTGTTACCTGCACTGTGAAAGGAAAGCATTTAAGTAGCATGTTGGTCAGAGAGTATCATCCAGTCCCAAGGTAAGCCATGATTATTCTCTTTTCCCACCACCAATTATTGGATGTGAATTACCCCAGGAAGAGGACATGTCTATATCAGGGACTTTTCTCTTCATAGGTGGCCATTATTAAAAGGATGATAGCTGAGGGTTACCTGCTGATCATACTCTCAGCAACAGGAAAATTCAGACATCCCATCCTAAAGCCGTATAATAGGGAATGTCACATTAAAAAGTCCACTTAAATTGCCTCTAGGAGAAACAGGATTCTGGAGACTAGTAATGATAGAACTACCTACTCAATGGAGCAGAGTTGCCAGAAAAACTCTGTGGGAAGTAAGTTTTGTACAAATCACCTTAGCACTTTGGCTTCAAAAGAAGGGGTGCCTTTAGTACTCTGCTCAGCTTAAGTTACTGTGTAGACACAGATTGGTTCATCTAACAAGCTTTCAGTGCTTGCTGATCACTGCTAGGTTGGAAGTATGTTATAGTGAGTATGACAGTCCTTGTTGTATAAACTAGAACTGATAGCCTAATACAAGAGACTAGGACTTTTAGACTAATCGGGTATTAGTTGTTAGGAAAATAATTTCAGTCAAACAAGGCATTGATAGAAGGAATACTATTGTGGGAGTGTAAATAGTGTAGAAACTTGACCTGGTTTACTGGGTCAAGGGGTATTTCTCTGAGCAGATAATGCTTAATTGAGTAATTTCTTGCACTTTCCTTGGTTTGGGGAAATCTGAGAAAACATCTTTTTTACCTAGTACTTTGACTACATCTTCTTTTTTTTTGGGGGGGGGGTCCGGTTGTGGGGCCAGAACTCTGGGCCTGGGCGCTGTCCCTCAGCTCTTCAGCTCAAGGCTAGCGCTCTACCACTTGAGCCACAGTGCCACTTCCGGCTTTTTTCTTTTTGCTTATGTGGTGCTGAGGAATCGAACCCAGGACCTCATGCATGCAAGGCAAGTGCTCTACCACTGAGCCACCTTCCCAGCCCTACATGTTATTTTCAATGAGAAGTATGGAGTGGTGGAAACAACCCAGGGATCTCCTAAGTGATAAATTGACGAGTGTTTTGGAGGTTGGAACCATACGATTACTTATTCTTTCTCCCTCCCTTATTCTTTTCAGACTTAGTTGGCAGAGAGGGCAGAGGATCTTAGGAATGTTTATGTTTTTATTAGCATATATCAATTTTACAGAATAGGGCTGTTAGTACATTTTCATACATGCATACACCGTACTTTGATAATATTTGCCTCTCTATTACTCTCCCTAACCCCCTTCTTCTTTCCTAATAGACCCCGTTTAAATGATATGTGATCCTGAACAAATTGGCTAACTGCGTTGTACCTCAGTTTCCTCACTTTTGTAAAATAGAAAAATAATAGTATTGTATCAGGATCGAATGGTTAATATTTTTAAATATTTAGAAGAGTGAATGTCACTTAATGCATTAACCATGTACTGCTACATAACCTATTAGCTCAGACTTCAGAGCTTTAAAACACATCTTAATATTTTACAATTCTCTGGGTGGGAATGGGGAGTCCTGGTTCATCTTTGCTGTGCCCTCTGCTTTATAGTGTCTCACAACTGCAGTCAAGGCGTCATGTTGGGTAATGTTCTCACATTTTCTTTCTCTTAACTGGGAAGGAACTATGGATAGGAAGTGTACTGTATGTCTCAGAAACAAGACAAAAAGGGATTTGGGATATGTATGCTATTAAAAAATGGTAAATGAGGGGCTGGGAAGGTGGCTCAGTGGTAGAGCGCTTGCCTTGCATGCATGAGGCCCTGGGTTCAATTCCTCAGCACCACATAAGCAAAAAAGAAAAAAGCCGGAAGTGGCGCTGTGGCTCAAGTGGTAGAGCGCTAGCCTTGAGCTGAAGAGTTGAGGGACAGTGCCCAGGCCCAGAGTTCAGGCCCCACAACTGGACCAAAAAATAAAAAAATAAAAAATAAAATAAAAAATGGTAAATGTGCTGGGCGCCGGTGGCTCACGCTGTAATCCTAGCTACTCAGGAGACTGAGATCTGAGAATCGTGGTTCAAAGCCAGCCCAGGCCAGGAAAGTCCATGAGACTCTTATCTCCAATAAACCACTCAGAAAACCGGACATGGTGCTGTGGCTCAAGAGGTAGAGCACTAGCCTTGAGTTGAAGAACTGAGGGACAGTGCCCAGGCCCAGAGTTCAAGCCCCAGGACCAGAAAAAAAAATATAAATGTTTGAGAATATGTTTATCAAAACATCATATGGCACCTTCTTAATATGTGCAGTTTTAGTGTTTTTATATGTTAAGTTTAAAAATTTGATGAATTAAATTATATTTCTATTGATATATCTCTGTGGCAATAAATGATTACAACAAAATATAAGATCTATACAAATATCATTATAACATCAAATAAAATCTTTGAGTCCTTCCACTGTATAAATTAATACCCTATTGCTATAATCTTTCTGAAATACTGCTTACAAATTAGCCTTTACTTCTTGCTTTGTCTTTGATTTTTTAGTCCAGGGAATATTTATGTCAATTATTACTTTGCAAATGAAAACCTCTTATAAGAAGCTGTACAGAGTTTTTTTTTTGGGGGGGGGGTCCGGTCGTGGGGCTTGAACTCTGGGCCTGGGCGCTGTCCCTGAGCTCTTCAGCTCAAGGCTAGCACTCTACCACTTGAGCCGCAGCGCCACTTCCGGCTTTTTTCTTTTTGCTTATGTGGTGCTGAGGAATCGAACCCAGGGCCTCAGTCATGCAAGGCAAGTGCTCTACCACTGAGCCACCTTCCCAGCCCCTGTACAGAGTTTTTAAGTTTGGTGTAATCCCAGTTACCTATGTTTGCTTTTGTTCTCTGTGGTTTTGAGTCTTGTTCAAGAATCTTTGACCATTCTACTGTCTAGCTTTTTCCCTGTGTTTTTGTCTAGGAATTTTATTGTTTTGAGTCTTACATTTAAGTCTTTATTTTGAATTGATTTTTGTAACTAGTGAGTGATAGTCCGGTTTCATTCTTCTATATATGGATTCTCAGTTTCCCAGTGCCATTTATTGCTTATCTGACTAATTAGTATCTGTTTATTCTGACATTGTAAGAGCACCTTTATTTTACTTATGGAAACTAAGACTTTCTTCTCTTGCATCTGTTTCTAATATTGTTGGCTACCCTTCTCTAAAGAAGTCGTTGATTCTGGCCAGCCAGTGAAAGTATTTCATTTTTGAGTACAGTTTAGGCCCAAGGGTGAGCATATGACCAAGTTGGCTCCAAGAGAAACATTTTGGCTAGAGACTTTGGGAACAAGGCTCTTATTCTTCAGGAGCTGCTTCAGGTGTCTTGCTCCCTAAGGAAAAACCTATGTAAGAACCGAATCAAAATGGGGAAGGGAAGAAATGATGACAAAGTCCTTAGGGTATCACTGGGCCATTTCTCAAGCCTTCTTAAAGTTAGCTCTGGAATTTCTACTTATTTGGGGTGAATAAATCCTCTTTATGTTTATGGGCTTTTTGCCCCTAATGGCTCTACAAATTATAAGTAGTTTGCCATGTTCAAATGAATGGAATGCAGTATAGCTGAAATTTTTTGTTAAGATACGAAATATCCTTTTATTTTGTTGGTCATGGGGCTTGAACTCTGGGCCTGGGCACTATCTCTGAGCTCTTCAGCTCAGAGCAAGCACTCTACTTACTACCTGAGTCGCAGCGCCACTTCTGGTTTTTTGGTGGTTAATTGTAGATAAGAGTCTCATGGACTTTCCTGCCCCAGCTGGCTTTGAACCGCGCAGATCTCAGCCTCCTGAGTTCCTATGATTGCAGGTGTGAGCCACTGTGCCCTGAAAGATATGAAATCTTTAATATTGTGTTCCTCTTAAATTGTTTCCATCCTGTAGCATATGTACTCACATGAAAAGCAATGTGGTGTAATAAAGAACACCTAAGACTAACCTCAGTCTACTAGCTGTGCTATTTCAATTCTCACAGTTTTGAGTAAGGAGAATGATTTTTTCAGGCAGATTATTGGAGTAATTCGGGAAATGATGGATGTAGAAGACTCAGCATAGTGTTTGATACATTTGGCTTCCTTCTCCCACCTTTGGTGAATGTCTCATGGACTGTCCTGGAACATAGACTTTGGAGACGGTTTGGATTTGAGTCCTGCCTCTCACATTTACTAATTTACTAATTATGGGGTAAGTTGTACAATTCTTGGATACCCCATATTCATCATCTGCAAAATGTTTTGCTTCATTTTAGGTTCCTAAATATTTATCACAGCAATGGGCTAAAGCCCCTGGAAGAGGTGAAGTTGGAAAACTACGGATTGCCAAGTAGGTTATTTTCATGTTATTGACATTTTAAAATGCTTTTTTTTTGAAGCTTTTGTAAGTGCTTTTGAAGATGATTACATTTGTTGGATTAGAGTTTATTTGGAAAGTGAGAAGCAATAAGCCCATAAAAGCTTGCTAAGAAAAAATTAAATGCCTTGTAAGGAGAAGTGCTTATGCATGTTGTACCCACACACATCTCACTCACACCTCTAGTGACAATTGATGTGAATCAGAAGTCATGTTTATTGGTAAAACTTATTGGCGGTAAAGGAGCAGAGTAGATAGTTTCTCCATCACTCCATGTTATCCATATCATGTGAGGAAGTATGCTTGAGTTGGGTATAACTGAATGCTCCAAAGGAAGTGCTTCAGCAGGAACACTTTGCCACTCTGACACTGTATATATTTGTAGGAGTTTTGAGAGGGTAGGAACACCTACTCAACAATGTAACAGAGAAACCTCTTAAGCTCAGTTGGTATAGCCAAAGGCCTTCTGTTCCATTCTTCCCATCCATTCATATTTTACTTTCAACTCCAGTTGGATTTCCATACCAGATTCTTGAATCTACTGCTCCATTGAAGTATCTCCTTTTTTTTTTTTAGTTCTTTTTTTTTTTTTTGTGCTAGTCCTGGGGCTTGTATTAAGGGCCTGAGCACTGTCCCTTGAGCTTTTTTGCTCAAGGTGATAAATTGGAGTTAAGAGGCTCATAGAGCCAGGTGCTGGAGGCTCATGCCTATAATAATAGCTACTTGGGAGGCTGAGATCTGAGGATTGCAGTTCAAAGCCAGCCTGAGCAGGAAAGCTCATGAGATTTATCTCCAGTAAACTACTCATAAAAAGCCAGAAGTGATGCTGTGGCTCAAGTGGTAGAGTACTAGCCTTGAGCACAGAAAGGCTCAAGGACAGCACCCAGACCCTAAGTTCAAGCCCCAGGACTGGCCAAAATAAATAAATAAATAAATAAATAAATAAAAGTCTCACAGACTTCCCTACCCAAGTTGGCTTTGGCTTTGAATCACGATCCTCAGATCTCAGCCTCCTGGGTAGTTAAAATTATAGTTGTGAGCCACCAGTACCTAGCTTCAAGTCTCTTTTTTTGTCAACAGTATCTTCTTACCAGTTGGCTTTTTGTACTTGTTATTTCTGAGATAGTGTCTTTGCTTCCTGCTTTAGTGTACACTGTGACTGTGATTCTCCTATCTTTATTCCTACTATAGCAAAAGAATGAAAGGCATATACCACTATACTCAGCTTCTTCCATTGAGATGAAGTCTTGTGGATTTTTCTGCCTGGAGTGGTTTGGGGCTACAATCTTTTGTCAATTGGCTTTTTTTTTTTCATAACATGCTCTCCTAAATCTTAGTGACTTAGACAAAAGCCACTTTACTTGGTCATAATATTGTAGATTAATTTCAGTTAGATCTGATCTACTTGGCCTTTCTGGCAAGAATGGCCTCATTACTGTCTGGTGGCTTGATATTAGCTGGGGCAGTGGCCATTTGTTTCATTCTAGAATGTCCCATCCATATGGTGGTAAAAGAGATTCTAGTAGCAAAAGAGAGAGGAAGTTCCTGTATGCAAACGCATACTTTGCAAGCTTATGCTATGTATGTTTCTTTGCTAAAGTCTTGTTGGTCAAAGCAATTCACATGTCCAGGTCTGAATTCAAGGCTAAAGCAGCAGATTCTCAAGTCAAACAATTTGTTTCTGTAAAGAATCCGTGTTTCTTTTTACAGTCGGCATATCTACATTCCTAATTGTAAGCAATCCTCTTAATTGACTGTCAACAGAGGTTGACATGATGGGGTACTTTTTTCCTGAAACCTTCTGTTCACTTCATACCTAGGCAGCATTCTTTTCCTTTTCCCTCATTAGCTATTTCTTTTTAGTCTTTATGGCTGGACCCTTCTCATCTGTCTCTTAATTTATATGACCTCAGGGCTCAGTCCTTAATTCTTTTTTTTCTTACTTTCTACATGGTCTCATAGCCTTTGAATACTAAATAGTAATTATAGCTCAAGTTTGTTTTCTCCTGAACTTGACTCAAAATTTTGATCAGCTCTTTGATATTTCCTCTTGAAGGTCTCAGATGTATCTTAGTATTAATAATTACTGTTCCTTCTCTTTGAAATATTCTTCCTTTAAATATCTCTTTAGATAGCTTCCTTTAGATATTCTTCCTGTTTTTTGGTTTGTTTAGGACTCTGTTCAAATATCAGTATGTCAAAAGCTTTTCTAATCACTAAATATAAAATAACACATAGTATACCCGACCTCTCTCACTCTCTTCTGTTATTACCATTCTTTGTTTTAGTGGGTCTATTCATTCACCTGTGTCCATCTGACATTTGTTTGTCCATCTTTCTTCCAAAGTACAAGTACTTTAATGACAGGATGTTTTGTCTTGATTACTGTATATCCAGCGTTCAAAACTCTGTTAAAAAAAAAAACTCTGTTCAGTGGAGTACACAATACTTTTCAATAAATTTTTATTGATGCACTTAATGAAAACTACTATGACAAGTTTCATTAAAATAGCTGGTTTTTTTGTCCTCCTTCTCTTCCTTTTTTTCAGACAGGGTCTCACTCTATAGCCCATACTATATAGCCTCTCAACTACTGGGATTACAGTTGTGTGTCATCATATTTGGCTGCTTTATTCATTTATTTTCTTAGACTATAGTTCCAAAAGTGATACTGTTAGTTAGTGAATGTATGTACTTTTTTCCTGAGTGCTGTCTGTGAGCTCTTCAGCTCAAGGCAAGCACTCTTCCACTTGAGCCACAGTGCCACTTCCGGTTTTCTAGTGGTTAATTGGAGATAAGAGTTTCATGAACTTCCCTGCCTGGGCTGGCTTTGAACCTTGATCCTCAGATCTCAGCCTCTGAGTAGCTAGGATTACAGGTGTGAGCCACCAGCATCCGGCAGTATGAACTTTTTTTTTGTTGGTCATGGGGCCTAAATTCTGAGCCTGGGCCTTGTCCCTCAACTCTTCAGCTCTACAACTTGAGCCACAGCACCACTACTGGCTTTTTCTGCTTATGTGGTGCTGAGGAATAGAATCCAGGGCCACATGCATGCAAGGCATGCACTTACCATTGAGCTACCTTCCCAGCCCCCAGTATGAACATTTTTAAGGTTTAAAATTGCCTTGCTTACTCTCCCAAAGCATGGAGATTATGTTTCCTTTTACCTGAAACATCTAGTATGTCTGTGTGAATCTTACACTTTTCAAGGGGGACCAATTCCATCTCCTCCTTAAAGCAAAATAGCTTTGGAGTTTGATTTGTTGTTTGGGAAAAAAATGCTGTTTTCTGGAATGATGGCATGCCTTTAAAGAAGCTTTGGCACATTCATATGGTTTTTGTCTTAGCTGCCTTTGTTTTTAATTGGCTTTTAGTTCTTCATTTTTAAAAATAATACATTGATTATAAACAATCAGGCTTTTTATACCTGAGTGGTTTTGTTGTTGTTGTTGTTTTAATGGTACTTGGAGTTGAACTTGGATCTTTGCACTTGCCAGGCAGGTGCTCTATGACTTAAACAACTTTGCCCAGTCCAAGTAATACCTTCTTGTTTTAATTATTTTAATTATTTTTTGGGGGTGGGAAGGGGGAGCTGAACTCTGGGCCTGGGTACTGTCCCTCAGCTCATCAGCTCAAGGCTAGTGCTCTACCACTTGAGCCACAGCACCACTTCAGGCTTTTCTGCTTATGTGGTGCTGAGGACTTGAACCCAGGGCTTCATGCATGCATGCTCTACCACTGAGCCACTTTTCTAGCCCTTAAAATTACTTTTATACAAAGGAAAATAATCTCGTTTTATCATTCACATATCTTAGAGTGGTGACAGTTTGGTATGTAACCGTCTTGATTATATACTGGTTGTTTGGATGCTGAACATATGGATAACGAGTTAAAACATCTTTTTAAAAAGTTCTACAGTTCATAAGCTATGTATTTTTCAGACTTCTTTATAACTTCAGAACATAACATGAACTACTTTTTTTCTCTTTGTCATTTGCCCTTATATTTAGTTCTAAGGCTTTGGCTTATTTTGCTCCATTTTCCTTTACTTCCTCCCATCTTCCCTGCCCCCCCACTGCACATCTAATACCTCTATTCCTTGTTTTAACTATTCTAGTTTCTGAATTCATTTGACAATAAAATCCTAAGTAGAAGTGACTTTTATATCCTTGTATTTTAATCACTGTAATCAGCCATAGATGAAGAAAAAGGAAATATATCAAAATTGTTTAAAAGACCATCTTGTTGAAGTTATTTCCTATACTAATATAAAAATAGATAAGGAGCAAGTAAGAGAGAGAGACAGAGAGGGAGGGAAGGAGGGAGAGAGGGAGGGAGAGAGAATCTTACATATATTCATACCAAAGATCTAATCACCTCATATGGTACATAGTCTTATCTGGAAAAAGATCATCAGTTTTTGTTGTTGTTTGTTTTGTTGTTGTTGTTGTTGTTTTGGCAAAGATTTACTTTAGTATGGCAGGATAAAGTAGGATGAAATAGGAAAAAAATAAAGAAACATTTCCTGGTCCCCATACAGGAAGTGAAGCTAAAGACTAGAAAAGAGTTGGAGGTATGACTAGGTGATAGAGTGCCAACCAAATGAGCAAAAGTATCAGATCAAGAGTTCAAGTACCAGTCTCAGGACCGCCCCCCCCCCAAAAAAAAGACTCAATAGGCCATTCCCATTTGTTTGTAGCCTTTGTTCCTATTTGTAGTCTTGGTCCTGGGTCCTTTGTGTTTTCACGTGGGGAAGATAGTGAAAAATGTTACCTGGGCTGAACTAAAACACAAAGACAGTATCACTTCCTTTTGTTGTTCCTTGACTTTTTACACTTTGTAAAGACTTTATAGCTATTAACATCTCAAAGGAGAAGGCAGATGCAAGTAGTCCTTTCTAGTCCCTTCTTTCAATTATTGTAATGACATCTAAAAGTAGGTGTGATGGGAGGAAGAACTAGTTGCTTTGGTAT